TGAAGCACTAGTCCCCTAACATTCACTTCTTGTAGAATTTCTGGAAAACATTTAGTGGTATACCAGTTTGCTGTTACTGTCTTCTGTCCTTCCAATTCGACGGCTTTGACCAATCCCGTACTTCTGAAGAAAGCGGCATACATCACTTTTTTCAGTGCGCGTTGTCTTTTCATCATCGTGGGATCATCTTCAAAGACCCATACTTTGCTTTCTTGACGCGTTGAAACGTCAAAAAACGGTATGTACGTTTCATCACCCGTTACAATTTCAGAAATGATGCTGTGGTCACCATCATTTAGCAATTTAAGAGTTTCTTTACTGATTCTGACATGCTCCTCTTTCTGGTGCTCAGTTAGATTATGGAGAACCCAACGGCAAACTACTTTTTTCATATGCAATTCTTCATGCTTAATTTTGTGTATGGCTGCGGATCTAATGTTAATTTCCTTCTGTATAATTTGATAGGTACAGCGATTATCATCCTTTAACATTTTTCGTATAGCAGACACATTATCCAGGATCACTGGCCTTCCTGTGTGTTCCTCATCCTGAAGAAAATTGCGACCTCTGCTAAATTCTTTAAACTATCTGAATACAGTAACACGAGCTGGAGATTCATCACCAAATGCTAATTGCAACCGCTGAACGCATTCTTCTTGATTAAATCCTGCTTTAAAATCGTAGAAAATCATAGAGCGAAAATGTTCTTGCGTCAACTCCATTTTCTCTTCTGTTTAAAATTTATTCTACGCTAAACAAGTTGAAGTAAGTCAGTAAAAAATCGTCTGCCGTGTTAAAATACACTTTGTATTTTAAAATTGAACCGTTATTTTTATTATGTAAATTCGTGTCTGCGCGTATCTCAAGAATTTCAGAGTAACCCTCGTATAACGAGATGTTCTTCATATTTTTGTAGTTTTTAACTGAACCCGAAAATCAAAGTAACTCGCTATTTACGTATCGGAATAAAACCATATTTATGAAAGTTATAAAAATAATTAATTATAATTAAGATTAAATTGGAATTAAAATTATTAAACTTTGCGTTACACGCTAAGAAAAACAAACAAAAATGTTTTTCAGATTGCTTTTATTTGGTATATAAAATAACTTGCAATTCAAGCATCGGAGTAAAATTATATTTATGAAATTTAAAAGATTGGTTTATTTTAATTAAGATTAAATCAAAATAATCGCATTTTACGTTGTACGCAAGGGAAAACCACGAAGATGTTTTTTTTTTAAATTGCTTGGTGATAATAGGATTCAAGCTAAATGTTCATCATCATCTCAATGAAAATAATTTTTTTAAACAGCTATTTTTTTATTATTATTATCCTTAATAGATAGGGTACCATCTTTCTGAACAGAACGAAAAGCTCTTCTTATTAACTCAACCCGGAAATCAAAGTAAAACGGATTTTAAGCATCGAAGTATAATTGCTATAAAAATAACCAATTTTAATTAAAATTATCAAATTTTGCTTTACACGCTAAGGAAAACCACGAAAATGTTTTTTTTTTTAAATCGCTTTTATCGGTAATAGGATTCTAGCTAAATGTTATTATCTAAAAGAAATTATTTTTAAATAACCAATCATTTTTTTCCATCCTTGTAAAGCTTATAATTTTTGTGAATGTAACGAAACGCCATTATTATCTTTAATTCAATTCAAAAATCAAAGTAATTAACAATTTATGTATCGGAATACAATCATGTTCATGAAAGTTATAAGAATAGTTTATTTTAATGAAGATTAAATTAAAATAATCAAATTTGCGTTACATGCAAAGGAAAACCAAAGTCTTTTAAATTGTTGAATGGTTATAGGTTTCCCGCTGAATGTTGATTATCGCAATGAAATTATTTTTTATAATCAAAAATTTTTTTCAACGTCCTTGAAAAACAATCTGTCATCTTACTGAATATTGTGAAACACTCTTCTTATATTAATTTTTTTTTTTACGGGAATCAAAGCAACTTGCAATTCAAGTATCAGAATAAAAGCATACTTATAAAGGCTATTGTAGTAGTAATTCTGCGATACAAGCTAAGGAAAACCACGAAAACGCTTGTCAGATTTCTTGATGGTAATAGGATTCCATCGAAATGTTCATTATAGCAATGAAATCATTTTTAATAATCAATAACTTTTTTTTATCATCTTTGATATATAGCCTATCTAAGTGAATGTTGTGAAATGGTCTAAAAAAATTTTTCTACTTTTCTGTATTTTTGTCCGCAACCCAGATATCAAAGTTACTTGTAATTTAAATACAAGAATAAAATTATATTTTGAAAGACTTTTTGAATGAAAATAATTAGAATTTACATTACGCAAAATGAAAACCATGAAAAAGATTTAATAACAAACTAATTGAACGCTAGCAGACAAATATGAGGCTCTATCTCAGCAATTATTAAAATTTTCCAATTTTTTGTTCTTCATAAAATTAAATGTTTTGGGCAGCTTAGATTGCTTATAAAACGGTTCCTTATTTTATTTTAATTATTTTATTTTTTTTAGTTATTTTCATATTTTTTAATAAGCCCTTAAATTGCTTTTTTCCTCTCTTTTTTTTTAATTTCAAGTATTTGAATTTCAGAACAATATAAAAATCAATTTTTAAGAATATATCATTTTTTTTTCATTTTAAATTTAAAAATTATAAATCTTTTAAAAATTTAAAAAAAATGTGTTCAGAATTTTCTGGCACAGAGACAGAATGTTATTATTTATCATAACAATTTATAAAAATCAAATAAAGAAAATTCAGTTGAGACCAGTGTTGTCAAAGTTCAGCCTGACATCCGTTTGGTATAGTGATTGATCATTCTATCTTTATGTCCTTGTCTGAGTATACACAAGCAAAGGAGGTGATACAAAGGAGGTTTCTATATTCATTGTCTACGAAGTGTTTCGATTGATTTGAATAAATTATTAAATCGAGCATGCGCATTAGTAAAATTGCGCCAAACAAAAATGCTAACAATGCCATTCTAGTAACCCTTATGAAAAAATCGAGGTATAAA